CCATTTTTTGTTTAAAAATGTTTAATGTTGTTAATTAATTCTTTGAGAAAATATTAATATTTACTTGCTATTTTGCAAGTAAAAGGATGAATATTTTACGTAGATAATAGTTTTCGAATACAATTATAAAAATAAAAATATAAAACTGTAAATGTCTTCTTATGAAAAATTTCATATTGGAAACTATCGTTCTTATTGTGTACAAGCAAAAGTACCCGTCCCCAGTGACGGGAAAAGTTTTAGTTAATCTATCAACTCAGATCATTTCATGGACTTTAAAAAGGTTAATTGTGTAGCTCTGAGCTAATTATACCACCCACCATGAAAATTAATTGTTGAGCATTTCAGTCATGCTAAGAACCGCTCAACAATAATATACGGCAAATCTACATTATTATTCTTTACGTTACGTCACATTTTGAAATATGAATGATAATGTGATTAATTCCTGACAATTTAGTTTAGAATATCCTGCTTGCAAAATAAAATTTCGCATCAATATTATTCATGCCTGTTTTCTTGTCATTTCAAAAGTGCATTTTGACCTTTTCAAACGGGAGACAGACGAACGCTCGGACAGACACTATGGTTCGTGATATATATAAGATTAACCGTGTCAAGGAAGGCAAGCTAATGTTCTTTTTGGTGTTCCCCCCTGTAAGTCTTATATTTTCATATTGGTTATTAAGATACTGTTAAACCGGACTTGTATGTTGATGACCACTTTGATCCCATTGTAATTCCGTCAATTTGATCATAAATGTTAGTATTGAATAAAAAAGTTCCCTGGTAGGTCGGTGGTAAATTTACGGACTTACAACGCCAAAATTCAGGGTTTGATTCCGTGCGGTGGACAAAGTAGAAAGTAGATAGCCCAATAAAACCCATAAAAAATGGGATTCCTTAGATATAAATCTTAATGACTTCTGAAAAGCATGTTTAGGAATATCTTCATTTTGGAATAGTAAGTGAATTGTTGACTGTAAAATTTCTTCTATGGGGACAAATTAGTTCAGAGATATAATATAATATAAATTCTTATTAAACTGGAAAATGTTCATCCGCTCCTAGGTGTAACCGGACAACCTTCTCTTTATGTCTTAGGAATTCTATACAAAATAGCTGGATGACTGACCACTCAATGACCTTATCCTTAAATATTATTCTTGTGTTATTAAACTATATTTTTAAAGTTTTAATAAATAATTCTGTGATTTTATATATCTAGTCTTAATATGATCTTTTTCTAACATCCGAAACTTAATAGTTATTTAACATATCATTAGTTTTAGAAATGTAATTATTTCATTCATTAGAAGCTTCATAGGTTGAGTACTTATACAAAGAGTTGAGTATGTCATAGGCCCGACATGGCCAGGTGGTTAGGGTGCTCGACTCGCAATCTGTGGGTCGCGGGTTCGAATCCCGTCGCACCAAATATGCTCGCCCTTTCAGCCGTGGAGGCATTATAATGTGACGGTCAATCCCACTATTCGTTGGTAAAAGAGTAGCCCAAGAGTTAGCGGTGATGACTAGCAGCCTTCCCTCTAGTCTTATACTGGTAAATTAGGGACAGCTAGCGCAGATAGCCCTCGTGTAGCTTTGCGCGAAATTCAAAAACAAACAAAAAATTATGAGTGTGTCATATTAAAAGGGTTTTGAATATGCAAATCAGTAAGTCTTCTGACAACCAAGTCCGATATAAAGTTGCAGTGGAACGGAATGTATAAGAACTGCATTTTGACATTGTTTGGTGTTTCGTATGTAGTGTAATGCTACCGAAAATTAATTGCATTTGGAAAGTTTATGTAACATTTTACTCTATAAAGAAATTAACCCTCTACTTAATTTATTTTTATCTGGTATAGCTATTTTATAATTTTTACTTTGGTTTATTATTACTATCTATTCTTACTTACTAAAATTATATGGTTTATACCCATAATTATAATCCCTAAATGATTATAAAGCTATTTCACTAATTTTCGTTCTAATGCAATTAAATAATTCATTACTATCATTCTGTATTTTCAGTTTTGAAACTTGTTGTAATAATTGTTCAAAGATAACAAATAATCCATAAATTTTAGTTTTAAAGATAAAATTATAAACTTCAAACTCCATGCTAATACCGTCTTTTAAAATTCATTTAAAACACAATCCGAGAAATTAATTAGCACATGATTAGGATGATTAATAACGTTATTAACTCCTTGACCTATACTGTTAGATTAAGTTTATATACGTTTTGTCTAACTATACTTAACAACTTGTTATTTCGTGTCTTGCTTAATCTATATAATTCATGTAACTCACTTTTTCTAATATTTTACTCTCGCTTCTGACTTATCTGAAACCGTAACATCTACTTTTTAATATTGTATAGATTAATGAAAATATGTTATTGCTACTTTAAAATTATGTAATTTAGACATAACATCATTAATCATACAATTATTCAACAAATTATGATACAGTTAGTTCCAAAATATCTTAAATTCAATATTACACTTTTCTAAAATAAAATAGAACATATCGTTTTTAGAGTAATAGCAATAAACTCATGAACATAAATAGAGTAAAGCACTATATAATATACAACACACTACCTCATTTAACTGTTATTGTTCAATTCCTAAATGTCCCTTAATGAACTCAAGTTAATCCTAAACTTGGAAGTTCCATATTATATTTAATTTATAGCCGATATTAAAGTAAGTATTTAATTGTTCTATAATGAATTCCATCTCAAAATACGAGTTCAAGTACCAAAAGTTAAAATTTATTAATTTTGAAATTTAGACCTATAAAGTTTGTACACGAGTTAAGATGTAAATTGTCCGCCCCATTCGCTCTCCAGTGGATTAGCGCTAATTCTGTAGGCTTGTGACACTGAAAAACGGGTTTCGATACCTGAGGTGGGCATAGCACAGATATCCCATTTGTGTATTTGTGCTTAACAAGAAATAAGCAAACCTCCCCCGTTCTGTAACAAAAAAAAAAAAAACTTCTAGAACAGTGGTCTATAATTATTTTACACACTAAGCTACTCGAGATGATGATCAAAAAGACTGAAATTGTTGGAAATATGGAATGTATCATTTCACACAAAGAACATTTGATTATAGTGTGGGCCACGAATTAGGCTTTTATTGTAGAATACTCAATGTAATACAATTTACGTATTTCTAAATCCAAATACACCATAATAAAAATAGATATTATCAACCGTAAAATATTTGTACACAGAAAACTAAAAACTCACTTTCTTGTAATATTATCACAGATAAAATGTACATCAAACTAAAAAATAAAACCATCACATCCAGAAATTAAAAGTAAAATAGTCTGTACTGTTTTATGCAAACTACATACTTTGATCTATGTGTGTATTGACAATATCTATGCCGTCTGAAATTAGCTTTCCAGAACACTGACTAAATCATAAACTATTTGATATATTATTTTCATAAATACATGTAAGGTTTTGGACTACGACTCAGTCAAAAAAATTGGAAGTTATTAAAACTTTTTCATACTTAAAAATAAAGTAAGTAATATTGCCATACATCATAGTATTTATAGTAAGATAGAGAGCAGCAAGAAGAAACAATTCAACTGTCTTTGCAGTCAATGAGACAAAATACATTTGTAAAATATTCATGTTTGGGATATGATTAGAGTTAAAGTTACCGTAGTGATACAGAAAAGTATGGTAAGGAAAGTACCAATAAAGCTGGCTATCTAACATTATGAATAAAGAGCTTTGGAAAGTAATCCTTATATCTTTTGTAGTAATCTTATTGCTGAACCTAGATTTGGCTTTAATCTGTTAATAATAACATTCCTTTTTATACTATTCATACGGAAATTCTTCTCTACACGTCCACTGGCGAGTATTTTAAACACAGAGGTGGTATTGTACAGTCAATAGCACTATTGAAACTTTGTTATTCATTGTTGTTTTTAGAGTTTGCCAACAACTTCAATAATGCATGGTTCACTCTGATAGTGAACTTTCACTCAAATACCTTAAGTACAACCAGTTCTTTCTTTGTAATGCAGTAATGACATTTAGCAATGATCAATGCTCAACCAGTGTACGTGATTGCACATTCTTATACATGTGATAGCACCACTCCAATTCCACGGTCATTGGTGTCCAATATATATATATATATCAAGAGTCTGACTTTGGATAAGTTAACATTGGCTCATCAGTTAAAGTGCATTTTATTGACCAGTCCATTTATTTATCAGTCCATCTAAAATACAAGCCAGCTTTACTAAGTTTAAAACGTTGTACACAAACTTTTCATAGTATAATGCAAGCTGCGTAAACTTTAACGTTTTCCTTTGTTATATGTTGGAGTTATTATTTCACTGCCCAATTTTAGCAGTGTCAGTGAACATAACCATGACATACCTATTGAACGTATGCCAAATGAATTTAGTTTGTGTATACATAAGCACACATTTCAGTTCTCCGCTTTAGTTTCGGTCCCGCTTTTCTTATATGTCGGTATATACAGAAATACCATTTTCAAGTTCTCAGTAGCTCATTATACGAGTTCCATTAAATACACGAACATGCAGACACGTTACATACGCTCAGTGGAGCATGGAATTCACATACTCCATATTTGTTGTTGAAAGCAGTCTAATTCTACATGCCAATGGTCAAAAACAAATTCTAAAGTGTTGAGCTACCAGAAACTCAGTTAAACCTCCAGACATTTATTGTACAAAGATACAATATACAATTTTACTGTCATTTTTTTGCAATGGTTGTATGATTTTATTCTTAGATCTATTTTGGAAATGAAGAAAGTTAATTGAATGGACGGCAACTGCCTGTTGTAGAAACACAAGTATAGAGGACGAAGTTTCGAAAGTATTCTCTAAAAAGCTTGAGTACAGGGTGAAACAGGCATTATCAGCCAATAACAGATGAACATTAGTTGACTGTAACATGTAGAATACTCAGTGCTTTGTACACTCTAAAATCTGTGTCTTTAGGAAGCCAATCCCTATATTATGTATGAAATGAAGGAATAAAAAAAATCAATACACATAATATTAAATTTTATTACACACATTCACAGAACACAGTAACTTTTAATAACGTTACAAAACATATAATAAAAAAATATTTCTTAAATGTAAAATGATGCAGGGATGGCAGTGCCAAAAATAATGCAAACAAGAATATAGAGATGATACAGCTATACATAGATCATCCCTACATGACTTTCAATATTAAAATTTAATGTTACACTGTAAAATGCATACTTGACTTTGATATTACTGCAGTTGGATGTTATATATTCCTGATTGTTGGAATGCAATTTGTTTATTGTAATATCGTGGTCATGTCAGGGTAAGCATCAATGTAGTTTAACTAAGAGCCTAGTACTAAAGTACAAGAAAAACCAAGTTGAGTCAAAACATGTCTTGATTATTACAGACTCTCACCACGAGGTCGGTCTAATTGACCGACTTCGTAACCATTTTGTATTCGTGCATTTTACAGTGTAACATTAAATTTTAGTATTGAAAGTTGTGTAGGGATGATCTATGTATAGCTGTATTATCTCTATATTTTTGTTTGCATTTTTTTGTTTGACACTGCCATCCCTACAATTTTTTTCGTTACTTTTATTGGTATTATGATGGTATTGAGCTTCTCAACTCACTTTTAGTCAGTCCTCATTCCACTGGATAAATTGGTGGCTTTACTAAAAATGTACGATATAGAGTGGTTAAAAAAATTCGAGATAGCTCAAGCATTTGCCTAGAACTTAATTTCACGTCTGTGTACTACTAGAGGCATATATTAAACTGTGTTTCGGTCTGCTTATGCAAAGGAGACTACCACAGTTCAGATCAGTGGTCACACCAATCTGGGGAAATTTGTTTAAATTAGCTGATGCTGCAGATCTCATTACCTATTTCAAACCTTCCTGATGGTGGTAGATGCTCAGGCTAAAAGAAATATGTTGATGTTTGTTCTGATAATATATGGAATGTGAGTAGTAATGCTCCAACTTTCCACGATTAATGTACGTGCTTCAAATTTCTCTCTTGAAGCATAGGCCAAGATAATTCTCTGACAACCTCCGTGGTTGAGAAAGGATAATCCTATCTAATGGACAGTACTAAATTTGACTGACCTGTAACATCTCATCAGGCTTACGGCTGAGTTACTGGTTTATTCCAAACCCATGAAGGTAAGGATACTTGAGGAAGATATGTAGAGATGGCTGCAAGCTTATTTTCCTCATGCAATTCATTTGAATTCACCACTTCACGTCTCATTGAAATCAATACTGATTATGTAACAGTTTAAATATCGCTTACTTTCCTGTGGTGTCACATAGGTTCACTCAGCAAGCATTAAATTAATTTGTCTATTAGGATATCCTTACAGTATGGCATAGGCATAGTAACAGAATATCTTATAAATATAAATAACGAAATTCTCGTTAAAAATAAAATTAAAACTTAGCCTGGTACTTAGCTTTACTTTTAACCATGGACCACCATTATCTAAACTCCATCACGATTTGGGACCCTAATCACAGTCAGTACTTGTCAACATCAAATTCAGGACTGACCAGACTGAGCAGGAAATAGAGCCCTGTTTATTTTGTGCCCTATCATTCTCTGCAGCTACCTGATTTTGGAATCACTTGAGAAAACACTCCAGGTTCTCATTAGCTGCATCTTGGAAAGATTACATGCTTATTTGTTTCACCTCGCCACTTCATAGTTGGCTTGCTAATCAGAGTAAACTAGCAGAATCAGTGACATCAAAGGCACAGCACTGAGATCATAATGCTCAACCTTGTATTCATCTATACATGGTTTGCGTGTTCTGGTTCTATAAACAGTGTTTTTGCATAGTAAATGTATTCCTATCAGTCTCTGTATGTACATGGATGGACCTTTGGATGAACATTGCCTTCAAAAGACAGCCTCTCCAATCTGTAAAATACACCAATGAGTTTAATTCACTCATATCCTGATGGAGACCTCACCATAAGTTCTCAGCATGATCTGGCTCAACTAGATCAGGACATATCGGTATAATTTAAGAACAAGAAGAGACTTCTTGGTTCACCTAGGATATCCCATCCTGTAAACTAAACTTTAAGATAAAATACAACAATAAAAATAGGCCTTTTACATTCAAATATTTATCAAGTCTTGCCTTAAGTTTCCTTAAATTAACTGTATATACTACATTTGAAGGTCACCCATTCCAAAAGCCAAATAAAGCTGTTTTAGCTGAAGATGATTCCTACTCTGCCAAAAAGAATATATTTATGTCCTCTAGTCCTACCATTCTCACTATTAAGGACGAAGAAAGATGATGCATTAACATTATTAATCCCCTTAATAATCTTAAACACCTCAATCAGATACCCTCTACTCTTCATTTTGAAAGATAAAACAATTCAACAGATCTTAACCTGTCCACGTATGACAACCTTTCTATCTCCAGTATCATTCTAGTAGCCATCTTCTGAACAATTTTCAAGAATTCAATGTTATTCCTAAGGTAAGGCACCCAAAACTGAACAAAATACTCCAAATGTAACTTAACCAATGACTTATACATTGAAATTATAATCTATTTAGACTTTTATTTAATATTTCTATACATACAACCTAACATCTTATTTGCCCTGACACTAGCACCAACACATTGCTTGGATGGCTGAAGAGACTAATCAACTAGAACACCAAGATCCTTTTATCTCACTGTTAAGGTATTCTTATCAAAATTATAACATAATTCAAAGTATGATATCCAATGTACATTGCCTTGCATTTATTATAATTAAAAGCTATCTCCTATATATTTGCCCAACTCACCAAATAAAAATTATCTTGTAAAGCAGCAGCATCCTCTTCACAGCCAGTAAACCTATATATTATCAGCAAATTTCAATAATTTATTGACCATTCCTTCATCTATGTCATTGATGTAAATAAAATACAACAAAAAGTCTTAACACTGAGCCCTGAGGTACCCCACTTCTGATATTAATCCAGTTTGACTGAACTTTGTTTTTAACAACCCTCTGCTTTTTCCCATCCAACCACTTTTCTGCCCAAAGAACCACCTATCCCCTACACCTAAAAAGATAACATTTTAACAAGCCTTTTATGTGACACTTTATCAAATGTTTTCTGAAAATCCAGATACATCAAATCCATACCTGGGCAATTATTTACATAAGTGGTAACCTCTTCAAAGAATGTCAAAAGATCAGTAAGGCAAGATTTTCCGCTAGTAAAACCATGTTGAGTATTCAACTAAATTTTAAATTTTATTAAATTACTTGTAAAGCATCTTTTGCCAGACTTTCAAAACTTTCCCATCATTGATGTAAGACTAATAGGTTTATAATTATTGGCTGAACGAAAAATGGATTAAAGGTTAAAGAAACTAAAAGTAAACTGGTCAACTGGTAAACAAATACATAAGCTCACCATTGGCATCTTGTTTTCCATACCAGGATATCCAGGCTGGCTGACATTGCCAATGATTTAGGGAGGCATGAGTCATAGGTCAGCACTATTTTTAGTGATAAATGGTTGAACCATGGGGCATTTGGCAGAGTGTAGGCTAGTACTCAACAAGCAAGATCGGGCTTCTTCAGATCCATTATGGGTCCGAGAACCAGAATGTGTCACATCTTTCATGTCATGGGTTCTTCTAGAAGGAAAAACACAGCTCTTAAATTCACCTAATAGATAAAAACTGGAAATAAAGGAGAATATAAAATTTCTACCTTTACGTGTTCATACTTGTACGGAATCTTGGTAATAGCACTGAACGAGTTTAATGTTCTGGTATTCTTAATTGAGATTACTTAACCAACAAGATTAGAATCCAAAAGGTAGAAGGATTTAATATGTAAGAATGGATTGAAAGATATGAGTAACGCAAAGACGTAAAACAATGATATAAAACACAAATAATTTTGTATTAATATGCTGAAAACCAGATGAAAATGGACGTACAACACAAACTTTAAACTGAAGTGACTGAAGAAAAAGTGAATTGAAGGTTGAAGGAACTAAAATTAAAGTTGTAAATATATTTTAGTCAACTGGTATACAAATACAGGAAAACACAGGTGAAATGTGACAGACTAAGACACAAACATAAGGAACCAGCAAAGTCATAGATATATAGCTTAACAAATCATGTTCAGTAGACGTGGAAATTAAGCAACCCATTCCTCTTTCACTCGTGACAACTGTACAGAAGGCAACATTAAAAGGTGTAAGCTGCCACATGCAGCTGATTAAGATACTGCCCTAGACTGGTACCATCGTAAAGTCTACAATCCTAGTATTGTTATTCACGTTCCTGAAACTGATTTTCCAGGGTAAGTAACGGAATTAAAAAATTCAAAACTTTATTCATATTTACCTTATTAATAATAAATCAGAATTAAGATGAAAAGTTATGACGAAGTCATAAAATCTCTGGTGACATTAAGGAATAAATATCACATGTTTTTAATAGTGTGCGGTCCCTTAAAGATGTGCGTGATTAGACGTTACGTACATGTTCCTGGTGATCTGAGTGAACTTTGTTTTATAAAATCCATGGGGAGAAAGGGGCCTACAAATATACAAGTGCTTGTTTTTATCTTATACCTCCTGGAATTGTAATAATTCTTTTCTCTCGTCAGAAAATTAATATATTTATGAATCACGTGATAATCAAATTAATACTTCAAGATGTCAGAAAAACACGTAGGTTCAAGAAGTCTTGATACAAAATGATAAAAGCCCTATAACCCGAGCGTTTTCGAAAGGTGGATCTTTCTTCTTTATAGGCAAATGAATAAAGTGGCAACTTTTATATGGATAACTTGTTTTCAAGATTTTCTAAATTCCATGGTTAAGTGATCTTGAAGTTTTTGCTTTTGTTTAAACTGTGTCTAATGTAGCATTTACTTCTGCTTACAACCAGAACTGTTGCACGGTAGATAGGTTTGTTTTCCTATTTACAGCCATGTTTCAGACACCGCTCGTGCCCGCCTTGCCTCCAAACCATCCAAGCCATCTACTGAACTCTCTGACAGCTTCTGGCAGAGTTGGCCCTGGTCCCGGAGCTCCCGCCAACCTATCCCAGTCGACAGGACTGCCGATGCGACCCAGCCCGCCAGTATCCATGCTCCCCAACAATAGCAGCCACTCGTCTCCTTCTCCTGGAAGGAAGGATGTAACGTCTCCCAGTCAGACTCATGTGGCAACTCAACACCACCAACAGCAACTTCAGCAATTTTCTCAGCTGCAACAACAACATCAAATTATCCAGTCTTTTCAACAGGTAAAAAAGGAAAATCAGTATGTATGTATGTACGTATGTGTGTGTATATATATATATACATATATGTGTGTGTGTATATTTGTTTTAATACAGATGTAATTTCAGTTTTATATCACGAAGTGTGTTCTTAATTATCGTTTTTCTTATGTTGTTTTAAAATATCTGCTCGTTTTATATTTAAATATATGCCTACAAATATTAATCAACAATGTCCTCTAGTAATATTACATGTAAGTAAATAATATATACTCAGCATTGTAAACATCACACTGATAGTATAATCAGAATGAGTGTAAATAAGGTTCGAGACTCGAAGCATGGAACTTTCGTGCTCATAAAAAGTCAGTTCATTTTTTCTAACTTTAAAAGTCTTCAGCAACAGGACCGAAAGGTTACAAAATTTACAATTTTGTTAGGTTTCGAATAGTCTTAGAGACATTCCTACTGTCAAGAATAAGTGTGCTATTCTTTAGGAAGGGAAGATAGATATTTCATTTTCCTGAGTGTGAAATATAAAGTATAGATTGTTATATCACTCGCTATTGTGCTTTGATGGCTCATCAATAAGCTTGAGAGCTTATAACGCTAAAATACGGGGCTCGATTCCTGCAGTTTGGCACATTGCATATAGCCCCTTGAGTACTTTAGTAAACAAACAAACAGTGCATTAATATTATTGAAATCTGTTAACAAAAAGACGTGACTATTAAGCTGTTGGATGTTAACTGACGAAAGTGTTATTATAGTAGTGTAAACATTTTTTGTTGGATATTAACTGACGAAAGTGTTATTATAGTAGTGTAAACATTTTTTTGTTGGATATTAACTGACGAAAGTGTTATTATAGTAGTGTAAACATTTTTTGTTGGATATTAACTGACGAAAGTGTTATTATAGTAGTGTAAACATTTTTTGTTGGATATTAACTGACGAAAGTGTTATTATAGTAGTGGAAACATTTTTTCTGTGAATATTTATAAGGATGACTTATTACTTTTTCAGTAATAAGCTTTTAATTGTTATATCTGTATGCCTAGGAAGTCATTTTTCTATATCTCGTATATTTTTTTTTAGAAAAGCATTAATAAAACTGGTAGCAATTTTTAAGTCTTGTTAAAAATGTGTTCAGACCATGTTCTGCTAGAAACTAAAAATGGAAGGGGATAAAGACGTAGCAGGAAAGGCAGAACAAATATAACTATAGGTAAAACTTCAGACACACATGTAAAATGTATGATCTTACGGTTCCAAGTAACTAATATTTATTTCGTAGGAATCCAAACATATTACTTACATTAATAATAAATTACGTACTTAGTTCATATTATAATTAACCTTAAAACATGGAGTTTATCGTACTTATTTTACAATATCGGACAAATGATAAAAAAACCCACAAAAAATTGTCTTTCAACAATAACTTAGTATTAGGTTTTTCAAACAATGCAAATTTCATTTGAAAATGAGTCCCATTCCTTTTTGTTGTGATTTTTCGAAGTAACTAGACAACCCGTGACCCGTGAAGAGTTGTTTTCAGTGCTAAATTAATCAATATACACTGGGAGAATATCCGAAATTTATGTTTACTGTATAGTCTCCCTTCCAAGTGCAAGGTTGGAGGTGTGGTGTTTGCATGAAATACAAACATTGTGAATGCAGTCACGATTGGGTTCTCGTCGAAGTTAAAGCGATCACAAAGAGACGTCCTCAAAAAATGTTGAAATCCAATAAAAGAGGCCAAGAAAACAGCAAAGCTGTAGGAATAGTGAGAATAGGTTACTATGTTCTCCTCATTGTAACCACTTTCATTCTCTTAGACCGTCCATTGATTAACAGGTTTAGATCAGACGTCAACCAACAAATGTGAGAAATAGTTTAGAATATTCATTGTTGTTTGTACTAAGTGCGCAGGGTATCTTAGATGCCATGAACATGTTGAAAACCATTCTTACATTTAAACTTAAGATCGAAATGAAATGGACTTTTCAAATGCATTTTTCAAAGTAAGAAATCGAATCCTGAATCCTGATTTTAAAAAAAAGCAGAAGAATATATTGGTCTAACGGCTTTTACATTGTTCAAAGTTACCACCTAAACATGGCAATATTTATACGATTGACTAGCGATTTCAGGGTTAAAAAAACGTTCGAAGAAAGGAGACGTCGCGTAGGTTTTTTTCACGCATTTTCATCAACTTCAATGCTTCAAGAAGATTCGATTCACGACATAGTTGCTAAAATAACTCTAAAAGTATGTGCTCTTGTAAGTTTTTATGGGAGTTAGTGAACTGCTATTTCAACTGTCATGTAAACTCTCAGAAAATACGTGGATGTTTCGTTGCTAGTATTTTACTAGCAATAGTTGAGATTGGTCTGCGGTTCTGTCATTTCCGTTAATCATGATGTAAGTGATAGTTTTGAAAATATATCAAATTGATAAAGAAGCGTTATGGAAAATTACACTAACATATTTGATTATATTTAAAAAATGAGCTGTTATTAATTTTAGGAAATTTTCTGTGAGTTAGAAAATGGTTACTTTTCTTTATTTCCTTATACAAGTAAAGTCATAATCAATAACATTATAGCTATGTGTAATTTATATGCACAAAATTAAAGTTATGACAAATAGCCTTTCAATGAGAAAGATCTATTGAAGGAATTATTTACATTTTGTGAAATTTTTCAAAGTAAAGAAAAGATTACGGACAATAGCGGAACGAATCTTTCGAAGAATCACCGTTTGCTGTAGCTCTTAGCTTTATTTTGTTTCTAACTTTAACATAAATGAAAATTTTCTGTTATTAAAAAAAATCAAATTAATTTCTTCGATGATAATTTTAATAATTAAAAGGACAAATCGTTACTTTACCATAGCACTTTCTTAATATTGAAATCTCAAAATATTGTGTTGTAACCAAATTGCTTATATTTAGTTTACAAAATTTACTTTTCAATGTTAATCGTTAGATTGCTCTACAACACTCGGAAAAATCCAATATTATAAGTTTTCTAGATTCGTTGTATATGTGCCACTGTTTTTATCTTTTTCCAAAGTAAACATTATAACAATCCATCTGAACGTTCAATAATTCTGTAACTGAACTACTCTTTTGAAAATTTTGACAAAATTAAAATACACTTCAGTTGTACATTGTGGATTTAGACATCCAAATTGTATCACAAGACTCACTTTGACTTCAGTGTTTTCTTATGTTGTTAGGCCAGTTCATATCTATAGCCATATCTATCTGTCTATATGTATACTAGCGAAAGTACCCGGGTCCGCCCGGGTTATTAGGTTGGTTTATTCCAGATGACTATCTCAGTGTGTGTATTCTAAACCCATTTTAGCACAAAAGTATAACCTATATACTTTTGTTGTTCCTTTACGGGATGTGGTCTGTTTATAAAGGTAACCTTCCCTCTAACTTGTCCACCGAATTTAAACTTAAATGATAAAAAAACAAACCTCTTTAGTTAACGGAGCCTCTAAATTAGAAAACAATAATTTTGTTTTCAATTTTATAGTCTATACATTTCATTTTATACTTTCAGCACATAGCCTCTTAAAAACAATATTAGGTTATACTTTTATTGCTAAGCAACATGGTATAAAAGTCATTGTTGGAATGCATTGTTACCAAAACGCATTGGGGTTTATATATATATATTAGAAGTCGTTATTTAAAGAACCACTTCTTTTTTATGTGGTTTTTCGCTAGATCGCTTCATTAAAAAAACGTCACTAAACCTGGAATGTTTAACTCTAAATGTTCAGTATGTTTCTACACCCGACCCGTCCGCACCCCCACCGATGTCGCAACCCCCTCCTCCTTAATAATACAGCGATCTCTGACTCAAGAAGTAAACTTGATAATAAGTATGACAAGTTAGATTACCGTACTTTATAAAATTCATTTGTAAGGACGCGCATGATTGGTTGACTGTCACACACACTGATAGCGATGTCAAGGCAAAAATACACCTAGTAAAATCTTCCGCTGAAAGTGTATATATCTGGACGCATTAGGTTAGCATACATGACCACATAATAGACCGACTTTCCTCAGTCAAATCTGAGCTACATCACCGAAGAGCTGGCCCAATATAGACTGAGTAAACGTTTTTTCCTTAATGGTTGTTACGCAAAAAACAATTTTACAAAACGTAGAATTTTACATGGAAACGAGAAAATTGTTTTAAATAATGAGCCTTTTTTGGAAACATTAGATATAAAAGCTGTTTAAAAAGTCGATCTGTGAACAGAGATGAATTTGTAACTCGATTTGTCAACTTACATCCACGCAGGATTGAGCTGGACAATCTACTTTCATGAAATTAAATGGTCAAGGTCACAGAAAATAAAATATATGAAAGTTTACATTTTTAGCACATTTCTTGCCTATCTTTGCATGGATGTCATTGAAACTGTGTATAGATATTCTTGTTAATGAAATACTAACAATTATGTAATATGAGGTGAGGTCAAGGTCAGAAAAAAATAAAATTTTACATTTTTGGTCACTTTTTCACATAGGTTTGATCTCTAGAGTTTTAAGATTTTCCCTGGGGGGATGCCCCCGGACCCTCTAGGGTGGTAACCTCGCTGCGCTCGGCGAACAGAATACACTCGGGCAAAATCTCAAGTTTTGCACCCCTCCCAAAAAATCCTGCGGACGGGCATATATACAGTCATATACTGGATGTACAATTTTTGCTTTTAATTTTTATTCGGATGTTTTAAATAACTGAGTTTTTTTATTGTAACCCTAAAATATATATTCCTACACAATTCTTAAATCTGCCATTTATCACATATACTTTATTCAGACTTTATTTCCATATTTAATATTCAAATTTCGAGTTTACTTGTTACTCTTAATTTACTATTCCATCTGTGTGTGACAAGAATATTGAAAATCCCTTTCATGATAAAGTAATTTGTGACTTTAGGATTTTGCGGATAAACTAAGTGCTTGTTGAAAAGTTTTTGTTTGC